AAAATATCATTAAATTTTAAAAATTAAAATATATATAATTAATATACTATATATATATATATGTTATGTTATATTGTTATATATAATATAATTATAATTATAATGTGAATCTTACTATGATTTATATTATAAGATCCACAAAATATGACCCAACCAAAATGAAATAAGTTAAATGGATTTATTGCACAACCCACACCTCATCTTTTAATATTTTACTTTTTGGTCCCTAATCTATCCATGCTTTAACATTTGTGATACCTATCACTTTCTTATCATCCACCTTTGAAAGCAAAGTGCTTTTTAAGTGACATCTTTTTAGGTACTTTTATTACTTTGGTGATCAAGAGCCTTTTAACCGACCCAAGAATGGAAACCCTGGATTTTCATATTAACCGTTATTATGTAAAACATATATTGAATTTAGACACTTTCATATAACTGTAACATAGTACTGTTATACTTTTTGAAGTGTTTTCACTTCATGGTGAAATTGGCAGAGTTAAGGAGGTTCTTAGTGGTTTGAGAGTCTTGTGATGGGTGACTATCCAGAACGGTTCAGAGAGACTCCGGTTTTTGTTATGTCCGTGGAGCGGGATACTTTCACCCAGTTTTTCCCTTGATGCTTCTAGGTCGCTTTGAATTGGGCTGTTCCCGTTGATGAAGTTCGAATCCGTTCCGTTCGGATATTGATTGGTCTTGGTTTGACGTGAATCGACACCATATGGGTAATGGGCAGGTAATGGGCAATTATCGAATGTAAATGGTGATTGAGTTCACAAGGTTGGAACCAAAATTTGTTTAAACTATTAGATTATATCGGAGGCATTCGGTATCCAAAAGAATTATTTGATTGGCTCCACTGAGAAATCAAATGCGTAATCAAAATCATGCTTGTTCTTTATAAGCGTAGACTTTATTTCAAAGGATATTGGTTAAAGATAACAAGGGTTACTTTTCTAGAACGAGATAAAGCTCTAACACGTGTTCTTTTTCTTCGTCAACTTAAAAAGGTAAGATATTTACGTATTGGCTTGCCATCATGCACACTTCTTCGAATGCCTTTATTGTTGACGAATCGATACAATTAGTTTGCTTATCCAGCATTCTAATAAAGAGAAATACGAGTTATTATCAAACGGTTTCCATTTATCATGTCGTTAAGGTCCACCCTTATGCAGTTTAAAGACATATCATGATTCTCTTCCTACTTTCGTAACCTGAAAAATGACATGCATGAAGTTCATTAAAACAACGTGATGTTGTACAGATACCCACATCGTTAATAACCCTGAATTTTATGACAATTGACATCAAAACCTAATTTGAACTTATATCAAGTAAATGTTATTATCATCATATTTTTTGTTTTTTTATATTATATAAATAAGACCCATAAAATTAAAATGGTAACTAAAGAAAAGAAGTCGAAATGGAATTTTGTTAAGTGGTCATAATTGTCAATCTTGAAAAATGGAGGGGGTAAAAAGAAAAGTGAGGGAAAACCAGGGTCATCAGGAGATATATATGTATATATATATATACATATACTAGTACTAGTAGAGTGCTGTTTCGTTCTGGTTACCCTTGCAAACAAACAAACCCTTCATTTTATACTCTCTCTCTCTCTCTCTCTCTCTCATGATCAACCATGTTTACACTTCGTCACTCCAGGTATGCAAAGATACTATTTCTCACTCGCTGCTCCATGAACATGGCCCTTGATTCTTGCTCTTTTCAATTGGGTACAAGTCCTTAGGGCTTTTGATTTCAATTTCGAAATGAGGGTACATTCATCTTTTGGTTTGGTAAATCGAGTGTTTTTTGTTTATGCGTACTTGGATTTCAATGTTAAAGAATACCCAATAGGGAAATTTTGATTTTGAAACTCAATTTGCTGTACCTTCTGTTAATTTGAAATTGGTGCATTTTGCTGTATGTGTGCTTTTGTTTTTGTAGAACAAGTCCGATCTCCACATTGGGTAGCTTTACAATTTGGGGTAACATTTGTTCCTGATTTGGGATCCATGAAATGTTACAGATTGCATTTGAATATGTGAAATCTATCTTCCTGTATTGGTTTATTCTGATATCATAGTACTTGGTGTTTTGCTGCAAATTGGATCTTGGTTGGAGTTTGATTTGCCTATTTAGATTAGAATTTTGCTTCTTTAATCCCAAAAATATACAAAATCACAAGTTTTCTGATCTCACATTCTTTCCAATTTTTATGGAAATTTTCATTATTAAGACTCATATGTATTTGTTGTGCATCTTCAATGTAATCTGCTAATGTTTGTTAATTTCTCAGTTCTCATGTGTAATCTCTATTTTATGAGATAATTTTGGCCCATTCCTTTTGTTTGAATCTGTCAAATGAAATATCCCATGAATGTAATGTAGTATTTGTATGTTGATTTGGTACACATGAACATGACAAATGGTTTTTTTTCTGTATCAAGTAATTATGCCAACTGTTGTCGTGTTTCTTGTTATGCTGCACTTAAAGTCATTATAGAGGGCTAATTTTCTGTTATGGTGCTTGCTATACTTGCTTTTAACCGATAAAATATCAAAGTGTAACTTGAGATCTAGAGTTTCTTTCCCCAAAGAAATTCTTAACTTTTTCTTTTACGATCCTTATGGTGTAATTTTTTTGTGTAGGTTTGATCATACGTAACTGGTCGCTCTAAGTTGAATTAACAGGATCCTTTGTGCACTCAAATTTCAATCCGCTTCTGTTACCCAAGATCTTCACTATGAGTTCTCGGTTCCCATCTCATCAGTTAAACAATGGTTTGTATGTATCAGGCCGGCCGGAGCCACCAAAAGAAAAAGCTCCGACAATGTCCTCCACCGCCGTCCCTTACACCGGCGGTGACATAAAAAAGTCCGGTGAACTAGGAAAGATGTTTGATGTGGATCATAATAGCTCTAGGCCAAGAAAATCTGGACATCTAGCCAATGCTCCTTTAAGAACAGGATCTTTGGGTGGTGGGAATACATCTCACTCAGGCCAAACGTCATCACATTCTGTCAACAGAATGAGTTCTTTATCTGGGGGTGTTCCCGGATCAGCTTCAATGAAGAAAACCAGTTCTGGTCCTTTAAACAAACATGGAGAACCAATAAGAAAGTCTTCTGGGCCTCAAGGTGGAGGGATGATTTCTGCTTCCCGACAAAATTCTGGACCTCTTCCGCCAGTTCTCCCTGCCACTGGTCTACTTACATCGGGGCCTATTTTATCTGGACCCCTCAATTCATCAGGTGCACCTCGAAAGTCATCAGGTCCCTTGGACTCTTCTGGGTCAATTAAATCACGCAGTACTTCGATGGTTAAAAATCAAGCGGTTACTCATCTCAGCCAGGAGGATAGAAACTCCTTCTTCAGGAGCTTCCCGAAGCTTGTTTTTTGGTCCATACTTCTGCTTTTTGTGATGGGGTTTATCGCTGCAGTTTTTATACTTGCAGCGGTTGGCAATCCCGTTCTTCTCATTGTTGTTGTTGTTCTTTTTGCTGCTGTGAGCTTGGCTTTCACCTGGAATGCTTGTCGGGGTAGAAAAGCCGTCATTAAGTTCATCTCTGAGTATCCAGATGCCGAGCTTAGAACAGCAAAGGATGGCCAGTTCGTCAAGGTTTCTGGGGTATGTCATACGAGTATACGACCGGCTGTCACACGCAGTCACACACACTTATATACATATCTATGTGTATATATATATGGGCATAATCAAAAGAGAACCACAAAAAGGTTACCAACTCGTGAGAACCAATCTCAAGGTATTGTTTCGCATGATTCTTTTCATCTAAGGTTGGGATTTAAGATAATGTTTCACATATATGTGTGTTCACATTATGAAAAAAATGCATGTGAATTTTTTTTGGTTCACATTGTGAAAAAAAATGCACGTGAAAAAGTTTTGCATTGTGAAACAGAGACATGTGAAACTAATACATTGTGAAACTAATATATGTGAAACAATATCTTAAATCCTAGGCTTAGATGAAAAAAATCATATAAATCAATACCTTGAGTAGGGGCATTCGCGGTGCAAAACCGCAAAGTGCAGTTTGAGCATTTTTCAAACCACAAACCAAGCCGTGCATGCCTCAAACTGCAAGGTCTTTGAGATTGGTTCTCACAGGTTTATAACATTCGGAATTAACTCAAAATTGTTGGTAAATCAACCTCTATTAAGTAGACCTCAACGAGGTATGGCGTATGCTTATAGTTTATTCTCCTTGCATATTTTCCATTATCTTTTATAATGGGGTTGTACACCGAAACTTATATAACAATCACCTACTTATCAACATACATGATAGGATCCATATGTGACAATAGAGCAGTTACATATACAATGTTGGTAAAAAAAATTATCTTTTACTATTTTGGAGTATCTAAAAAGGAGAAATGTTAGGGTTTCATTATGTTTAGCCAGCTGACTCACTTTGCCCTATCCATTCCCGATGTAATTAATAGAACATGCACGCTTTCAAGAATGCTGTCTCTCATGGTATGAGAACTGAGCTAGGTTTCTAGATACCATTGTCCTACCACAGCAATTGACATCCCACCATCAACAACCACCTTGTGATCGTGCTTACGGTTAGTGTGGTGTGGTTTAGGGTATGGATTGGCAAATAGTATTAGCGGGCATTAGTACATGGTTTGTAGGGCAGTTTTATATGATATGTTTATGAGTTCATGATATGTTTGCTACTTTAATCTTTCTATTACATTTGTCTCTAATCTCGTGTATACCGTGAATGTTAGGAAATCTTGAAATTAGGTACCCTCAACATAAAGTAAGCTAATCACACTACAATAGGTTCAATCAACTTATTTTCGTCTTGAAAGAGAACATTAAGTGCAGAAAACTAATTCTGATTCTATTTCCATTATAGAAGGAAGTATCATTTGCTATATATATATATATATATATATATATATATATATCAATCAAAATAGATACATGTAAAATGGGTTAACCATATGGTTTAGCGTCATGATTTCTTTTGCCATCAACTTGCATTTTAGCATACAATTTTCATTCACAAATATAAGAAAAGAAAGAATAGAATCACTACATAATCTGGCTAGCATTAAAGTGGAAGAAGATGTATTGTAATTTTAAGAAGTTTCTTTAACCCTTTTTTTGACCAAGAGTTAAATGCTGTTGAAATCAAGAAGTAAATAAGAAGGATAATAAATGTTAATAAAATCTAATTTTTGCCTCCCAATTTCAACGTGTGTGTATTCATCTATTCAAAAACATATGCATTCACTCTTCTCCTTGACATGATTTCTCCTTTATCTGAACTATATTTAAAAACTTAAATAATTTCACATAAAGACGATTGTCAAGATATGGATTTGTGATGATAGAGAAGCCACCTCCATCAAATATGCTTTTGATTCCTTCTTTCCTTCTTCAATGTTCAATTTTTCTCAATTTGTGCACATTCTAGTTACGCTTGTATGCACACTTTGTGAAAGATTTTGAAAGGGGTACACATGGGTTGATACATGATATCTAAGGGTCCTAGCAAATATAAAAGTATTGCATGTTATTAGCCAATTAAATCCTTTTATTTTTTTTGTGGGTGGCATTTTTGATTTTTAGAGATGATTCAAAGGAGATAAGAACTCTCCATTCTTCATTTGGTGGGAGTTTGAATCAATAACTTAGGGATCTCAAATACTTCTTAGGTATTATTTCATCTTCTAGTTTGATGATGACGCATAGTGATAGTGAGGCAGCTATTACCTCTAAAGATTGTATATTTTATGAGCATACCAAACAAGAAGAAGGTGGGTGTGATTTTGCTTGTAATACAGTTGTTATTTGTTTTGTACCTCCATCTATTGCTATGCTTTTACCAATTGGGTTCATAAGCTTCAACCCACTGGCCAACTTAATGCACTATTGTGACAAATTGAATATACACACACACACATACATATAATTTTTTAGGACACCTTTTATTAAAGGTCATAGATCTCTTATGCGTATCTGTATAAAACATGGAAATGTTAAATTCAAATTGCTTTATGTTTGTAGCCGTAGCCCAGTAGGAGAACTTTTGTTGAGGTCATACAAGGAAAAGTAGAGAGGGTAAGGGAACAACAAAAGATGATATTTTTAGTGTTTAATCAAGTTTCTTATAGTGCCATTGCCCATAAAGAAATCTTTATTAAGGCGAGACAAGAGGTTTTTTTTATCTCTACACTTTTTACCCTTATTTGGGTGGCTAGGATTTTATGGTATACTTTCACTTTGACATATGGATGGTACGTCCTCAAGAAAATCACATGTATTCATTTTACAGTCGCTATATAATCAATAAAAAATCTCTTATCGCTTTGCTCATTTCTGGAACAAAAGTTCTATGAGGTATTTTCTTCTTGCTGTCAGAAAGAAAGTTTTATAGAAAACAAGTTAATGGCTATTAGCGAACATATTATTTACTAAAGTTTGAATCTGCAATTGGTAACATGAGACCACTTTTACCAAATTTGATAGCATCCCGTATAGATCAACTTTTATGTACCAAATTTGTAAGCATTCCTTTAAGATCAAGTCCAAAGTAGTGAAGATGCACAGTAATGAAGAGAATCAGAAAAGAAGAAAAGAATAAATCAAGAACATACTTGTTTTGGATGGCTTTAGATTTCACAATTAAAACTAAAATTCTTAAATTGATGATAAATGTTATCCTTTTATGGCCATCAAATATATTAGTATTTTATTCGTTCTTTTATTATATTTACTAATAAAGAATTTGCATACTAATTGCAACTTAATAAAAGAAAGCTGTAAAACCTCAAAACTTTCCACAATTTTTTCACTCGCACTCTAGCCTGTCCAGTCCCGTCCACATACCAAATGCACCATAAATAACAGTGCCCATATCGCAAACAAATCTGGACCATGTGACACAAGACCTTTTGATCAATATACTACATCTTAGTTAAATCTATGTGTAGATTTAATAAATTAGCTTGATTATTTTTATATCTTTGTAGTATTGAAAATTTTCATTTCTACGTCGTTATAAAGACGTTCTGCTGATCAAGAAAATCTTGATTTCTTGAAGGTTGTTACTTGTGGAAATGTTCCTCTGGAGTCATCATTCCAAAGGGTTCCTAGATGTGTTTATACATCCACTAGTTTATATGAATACCGAGGTTGGGATTCAAAAGCTGCCAACCCTACACATCGCCGCTTTACCTGGGGTCTTCGATCCATGGAGGTGAGTCAAAAAAATCGCTATTTGCTTGACAAAATAGTCATATTCAGACGTTTTTCTAAATAAAAATGGAAATCAATTGTGAACCAAAGGTGATCTTTGATTGTATGTTTTGCATAATCTTTCATAACTATTTGCAGAGGCATGTTGTAGATTTCTATATATCTGATTTCCAATCTGGGTTGAGGGCATTAGTTAAGACTGGTTATGGTGCCCGGGTGACTCCATATGTCGATGAATCTGCTGTTATTGATATCGATCAATCCAACAAAGATATGTCTCCGCAGTTCATAAGATGGTTGGCTGATAGAAACCTCTCTAGTGATGATCGTGTAATGCGACTCAAAGAAGGGTATGCAACTTAAACTCTCCTTTTTGTAACTTTCAATACTCCTTCCGTCCCGAAATAAGTCACCTCATTTCTGTTTCTGTTTGTCCCAGAACAAGTGTCTTACTTTCCAATTCTACCCTTAATTAGGAGATGGAGAAATTCATTACTCGCTATATTATTAAGGGTAAAATTTTCATTTAGTTAATTCAAAAGGGTAATTATTACACATTTCTAAAACTATGTCTTTTTCTTTGTGTACATTATATTGGGACAGCGGAATGTATCATTTGCTTGTCATTATTCTTAGTACTCCATTCACTCGCAATAAATTAGAAAGGATCCCATCTTGCTGAACTTGTGTGTTCTTTGACGAAACTTTAGTTCCAAATTTGCCACTAGTTTTCACCAAAATCCTTTTGCGAAACACCTTTTTCGGTAAGCCAGACGTCTTCATGGAAACAGAAGCTCTACCCTTTAGGGTAGAGGAGAGGTTTGCATATGTCCCACCTTCAGACCTTACTTTTAATTAATCAAATGACAATTTTACCCTTAATAACATAGGGAGTAATGAACTTCTCCATATCATAAATAAGGGTAGAATTGAAAAGTAGGCATTTATTTATGGAAGTGACTAATGTTGATGCTTTTTCATCTTGAATAAGGAACCCTTTGATCTTCTTCTTGGTCTCATCTTCTTTTTGGTTGGAAACCGAAACATAGGTACATTAAAGAAGGCAGCAGTGTGAGCGTGATGGGAGTCGTCCAGAGAAACGATAACGTGTTGATGATCATTCCTCCACCAGAGCCCGTTCCAACCGGATGCCAATGGGCTACATGTATGCTTCCTGCAAGCCTCGATGGCATCGTTTTGAGATGTGAAGACTCATCGAATCTTGATGTGATTCCCGTGTAGCGTTTTGCTACTCTCAGTAAGTCAAACTTTGACCAAAAAATGATAGTTGTATAGTCTGGTTTTGTTTCACCCCATGATCTTGTTTGGGAGTGTTTTGTCAAATGGTGTTGTGTGATTATGGAGCTTTTGGGGGAGAACTTTGAGACTTGAAGAAGAAGTTCACAATTTTCCTGGATTTTTTTCTATTTACTTTTTCTTTTTTCTGAGAAATGTTTGAAGAATTTGAGATTTTAATGGTGTTATATGGTTCATTTATGGCATGTTGTTTCTTTGTTGGGAGTATTTATATTGATATGGGGTCATGCTTACTCATCCTGACCCCACATTCCATTTACCAAACTCTGCTTATCGGGTGTCACTTACCTTTATCAGGTGAGCATGACAGGGACTGATAATCTTATCCGGTAAGTGAGGAAGAAGACTTTTACCCAGTTAGCGCTTACCAACAATCCATTTTTATGGTCGAGAATTTTACTTGATAAGATAAGTGAGGATGGTGACTTTTACCGGTAAATGTTTAACCGGTATGCATTTAGTAAATAACCCCTAAATGTTATTGATTTCTTGGGCATTTTCATTGGTTGAAACTTGAAAGGTTTATGTCCATTGGTTGAAACTTATCGATTTTTTGAGAGTATTCGATTCTTTTCAATCCACATCTTCAATCTCCATCCCTAGTGATGTGTGTTGAGTTCTTGCCATGCTATCCAAATAATCCTCCAAGCATCAATACTCCATTGACTTCGGACTAAGTCTTGTTCTTTTGCATCAAGATGATCCTGTCACCAAGAGAAAAAGCGGACTCTAAAAAACTACGGTACTGACTTGAATTGTTAGTAGTATAAAGTGTTGAAAAATGCGCGCCATGGCGATATAGCACAAGATGCGTACTCTGCTGTTACGAAATGGTCCATAGTGTTTCTGTAAGGCGTGGCTCATGCCATGGCGTCTTGAGACACGTCATTAATTTTTTTTCCAAAAAAATATTTTTTTTATTTTTATCTTTTGTGTTTTTACACTTTTAACTTTAGATTTTACATTTTTTATAGATTTAACTAATCACATTACTCACAGGTTCACAAATTCATACGCCTTACAGACTCACGATTAAAATAAAGTTGTAAAGTTACATTTCTAAGTTCTATTTTAAATAATTTATCAAAAACCTATTTTATAAAAATAATATATATGATTTTTCTTTTTCTAATATGAATGTATATATTTTTAATATCATTATCTGATTAGATAATATATATATATATATATAATTCTATATATCACATATAAATTTGTCGCCTTATGTCACGTCTTGAAAAACGTCGTGTCCTCGTTGTAGTGCACATATATGATTTTTCTTCTTCTAATATGAGTGTATATATTTTTAATATCATTATCTGATTAGATAATATATAAAAAAACATATATATATATATATATATATAATTCTATATATAACATACAAATTTGTCGTCTTATGTCACGCATTGAAAAACGTCGTGTCCTCGCTGTAGTGCACCGGCGCGTAATGCTTGAGGCTTGACCTCGCTACCACGCCACACCTCACGTCTTTTAGAACCCTGGTAGTATATCATAGGCCATGGTAGCAAAAACCGAAAACTGCGGTTGCTTTTGTTTCCACCATTCCAATAAATCTATACTTCAAAAATCATTAACATTCGAATAATCAATAAAAGTAGTACATATATATAAGAATGTGATGAACCGTGTGGTTCCTTTGTACATCACATGTAAGGAAACAACCACTCAAAAGGGAAAACATTTGTTGCATTTCATTTTGACACGTTTTCCATGTTTATATTGCACCGCGTCTAAGAGTTTGACGGCTTACTATTTTGTAGCATGGTTTCTAGCATTTCTTGGATCAATGTCGTATGTGAAGGTTGTCAAAAAGTCCAGACGACAATCCTACTTGAATGACATATTGCGTTGTCATTTTTCGGTTCAAATCTGCATCGAGCGTCCAAATTCCACCTTGTCTAACAAGGATAGGTTGACTTGATCCTCCACCATTGACTTTAACCGCAAACATGTTTTTTTAGTGTAATATCTCAAAGTTAAATTTTCTTCGACCTTAAGAAGATCATCGATACATTTTGCATTGTGACTTCCTTTCCCATTTACAAGAACCACCATTGGTTCGGATTTCAAATTTCAAATTTCCGTTCGTGTTTAGTGAGAACTTAGGCAATAGGATCTTTGGATGACGCATCACCGGTAGTGTGGAAATCCATGTTCCAAGTAAGTAATGACACAAAAAAAAAAAAAAAGATAAAGAGCTCAAGCAGAAGAAATAAGAGAACTGAAATCAAATACGAGCCGAAATCACAAATTGTAGTGAATATTATGAGAGTTTTTTTGTGTTTGTGGATTTGGTATGTGCTCGTCAGTTTATTCAACCTTATATTTCAACACAAAAATAGAACTCGGCGCAAGTATACACCTTGAACTACTGTCGTCTTGTAACAAGTAATAATGGTAAAATATCAGATATCGTTCCAACAGAGATAGCTTGTAAAGTTATTTCAAAAGTTCAGTCTATAAAAACTAATTTCAGATGGCGAAACAAGGGATTTGATTTATCTAAAATTGGGTGATTTGATTAACACTAAGAAAATATCAGTCTTAAAAAGAAGCACAAGGTGCAACAGTTGATTAAGACATTCAAACAAATGATTCAGCAAAAAGGTGATATAACATTCTTGTCACAATTATCTAAAATCAATAAATGATTTCATATAACTGTCACAGTATCAACTATCGGGTCAGACGGTCTCCCAACAGTACACACCGGTCAACGTGTTATCGATACGATATCATTTATGTTAAACGTCGTGAATCCTAGCACCACACAGTGTTACCATTCTACACTGTAGGAGTATAGCATTTGTCAGATACTAAAGCTATTTATAGCCTTCTTCTATTACCTCAGGTTTTGAAAGTCAATACATTTTTATACAAAAAATAGTTGTCAATTAATTTTAATGTAATCCTCAAATGAAATATTAAGCACCTAAAACAAATAGTAGACTATAATGCTAATAAGACACCTTTTATACTTTTACATCGGCTTTGGTCTTAATTTCTCGTTACACCCCAAGCTAAGGCTTTTAGCCCATCATCGCTCGGTTTCTTCTCTCGAAGGATGTAAAAACTGAAAAATAAATAACTGATACGGAAAAGTAAATTGCAGAAAGTAAATTGCGGATATTAAATTACAAGAAATGGAAATATTGGAATTTAAAGTACTGGAAATTAAATGACAAAAATATAAATGACTGAAAGTAAATTGTTGGGAAGTAAATTGCGGAAAATTAAATTACAGTAAAGTAAAATGCAGAAAACTAAAGACTGAAATATAAAAGACTGAATATAAATGACTGAAATTAAATTACTAAGAAATAAATATTACTAATTAAAATTATTCTAAGACATGATATAAAGTAAAAGACTAGACATAAAGTAGACACTTGATGACTAAGATGTGACAATTGAAAGCATGGAAAGAAGAGAAGACTTTGGAGAAACTTTCACTCCAAGTTACAAAACTTGCAAAACAAGTTTCGTTACTGAAAGCGAAGAATTACTTGCAAACACTTGAAAACAGATTATTTAGTCTACGGAAATTAATCGTGAGACACAAAGGATGAAATCCAATGTAAAACAACAGCGATCGATTTTAATTTCAACTTTGTAACGAAAGTCGGAAAATGTTTGTAACTTGAAAGTAAGAACATAAATGAGATGAAGATTAAATACGAACACTTGAATTAAAACTTGAGAATGTAATCACAACTTCACTTCACAAATTTGGTTCTTGGTTGGAAGCAATAAAACTGAAAGCTAAAATATTTAGAGAGTAATTGTTTAACCCAAAGGTTGTGTGGGTTTTTTGTGTAAATAAAACCAAGCCTTAAGCTCCTATTTATAGGGAAAGGAAGATTGCACAAGGAGGCTAGCTAATAGAACAAAAGAGGTCTTCAAAAACGGGCTTTGACCAGGCCCAAGCCTTAGATTCACCAGCTTCAAAGAAGCAGCCCAAGGAAATTCGACCCAGACAAAAATTGCAGCTCACGGACTGGTGCTACAGGACTCTGCCACACATGCTCCTACAGGACTGCTGCAGGACTTGGCTCAAAAATCATCAAAAATCTGCATAAACAGGGAATTAATATTATATATGATATATTACTACTAATATATAAAGATGACATAAAAAGACTCAATTAAGACACTAATGGGCAAATAAAACAAGTGAAAATAGTTAAGAAAATGATGTAATAAGGTTAATAAATTAACACTTATCAATATGTTTCCCCATACATCATAGGACTTATATATAATACATGGGATTAAAAGGGACAAAAATGCTAAAAGCAGTCATATGATCGTTCCCCATGGCACAAACCGGTCAAAAATCAGTCCCGAGCATAACCACCCAGGCCGGTCCTTTGATATTCAGTGAAATGTATAACCAGGCCGGAATTGTCGGTCCCTTACTGATTCTCCCCAGTCCAGTCCTATGTCGGTCCTAGGCCACGCTCGGCCAAGTTTGGCCATCTCTATGTATATATAGCAACACCTGTACAAAAATAGATCCAGAACGAAGATGAGGAACGCAAACAAGGTGTGAGTGTAACATTTAAGGATGGTCCATGCCCCATCGTACGACCCAACTATGCTCAAATGTTTTAAGATTATATTTGACAACTAGTCGATAAAATATCTGTTGACTTGTAAGCTAAGTAATAAACTAGAGACATTTGATAACGGCTAACTGCTAATATATAATAACCTATAATGACATATCAAAAATTAATTGAAAAATGTAAGGGCATAATTAGAAAAAAATGGAAAAAACTCTTATAATTTATTGAAACGTTATTTGAAATACAAGCTTTTCAGTAGGCTCAAAAACTAAATTAACAGATATTTACAAAATAGGGTTTTACTTTGTTTTTCCATAAGCTCCATATGAGTTAAGTTGTGTGTCTAGATAAATTTGTTTGTCTCAAAGACAAAAAAAACCGATGAGTTTGGAGAGGCAAAGAGAAATGATTGGAATATTTCTGGAGTAATTTTGGTATTACTTTGTTTTGAGTTAGCTTAATAGGGACAAGTAAGGTGTTTGACTTATTTCATTTAGGCAATTTAGCTTAATAACTTACAATTAAATCGTGAAGAAATACTCTGGCTCAATGTGTTGGTCCCGTTAGGGTCTACAAGATGTGTACAACAGTTTGTAAAAGGTGGGTGATGAATACAAACACATAAAACTTTTCAAATTTAAAATATATATTGATAAAGAATGATCAATACAGATTTTACAAAATTGTTCGCGCAAAAAAAGGTAGATAAAACCTATCTAAACAATCTAAAGTTACACATCAATTCTTAGCAAATAAAGAAAAGATTTGCTGTTAAAGACTTAGAAGAAAGTAAGTTTTATCTGGGAAAAAACTGTTTATAATATAACAAAGAGATTTTGACTTGCTCTTGAAGATGAGCGTATTTGTTCTTAGATGTGTTTGTTTTTTTTACTTAAGCGTAAGTAAGTTCAGAGTGAGGGGTAAGAGTATCTCTGCATGGAGATATAACACATCTATTTATACGCATTGCATTAAATGCACATTTAATGCAACATGGTAGGGTTAGAACGCGTGTCAAGCCTTAAGATGAAGACTTGTCGTTTGCTACAGTGACTAGTACAAGAGCCTATTTATGAGCAGACATCCTTTCACAAAATTGGTGAGTAATAGAATTAACTAATCGGCTTCGTACTGTACTAACTTTTAGAAAGGGTATGAGTTTGTCCTTTGTGTGTGTAAGGACAAGACAAAAAAAATCGTGCTCAATAAGCTTCTTTTGATCGCTGAATGCTGGAATAACCTGAAGGTCTCGTCAGCATTCGCTGAGGTTTGGGCAGTCTTCACACATATGTAGACAAGGTTGTAATCACTGAATATCGCTTCAGATCACGTACTCGCTAGTCTCTAATCTTTAGTTTCAATCTTCGACTTTCGATGAAGGTTCTTTGGTGTGAGTTTTGTCTTCTTGAAGTATCGATGTCGCTGATTGGATTTACATTACAAGTTCTTCAGCGATCTGAACAAACTCAGTGATGATCGTTGGAACTGAAAACATAAACCTAAATACTTCGAGTAAGGTAAAATGGATTATCACCAAATCAATGAGAGAGATGATCAACACAACGAATAAGCCGTTCAAACTATAAACTCGTTGGTCTTTGATGTGATAAACGGACATATTATTCTACGATACCATTAGAGGCTATTTGGTTGGTTTTCAATGAAGTCTTATATGAATAAAACTGACTATGTTGATTAATTTGTTTGTATTTGAGAAACTTTTTCTATAATTTTTTTTTGTTATAGATGGAAAGATCGTGTTTTTCAATCGAGAGAGACATGTTTGGAAAAAATTTAACTTTCCGTATAAAAATTCAAAAACTTACTGAATAAGTTAACTATCTGTATAATTAAATAAGTACGAAAAAGTCATTTATAGCCAACCAAATAAGTTACGCGTCAGGTTAAACTTGTAAGGGTGTATGAGATTGCTTATAAAAACAATTTATTGACTTATTCCGGTGTATCACCGGTAATAAACATTTTTGAGTGTTTGGATAAACAACTTATACCTGGTGTCAAACCGATAATAAGAAGTTTTTAAAGAAGTTAAACCCTTTTGACTTATAATAGGTTAATACACGATTTTATAGAGAATATTTATTTCAAATAAACAATCAAACACATTCAAGAAACATCTCCTTAAAGTTACAAATAAAAAATAACACATAAACAAGAAACCTTTTTGAAGTAAAATCATGAAAAAAAAAGCAAACACCAAAGTAATAGGTGTTTGAGATTACTTATAAAAATAATTTATTGATTTATTGTGGTATAACATTAGTAATAAATACTTTTAAACATTTAGATAAATTGTTGTCAAATTGATAATAAAAAATTTGTAGATAAGTTAAACCATTATAATTTATAATAAGTTATACCGAACAAAAACTTAATCCCAAACACCGCCTAAAGCAATCGAACCCAAATATATACAAATTTGATGCAATTTGTGGAACTAAAAGATCCATCTTGGAGACTTTTTTGCAAACTCAATACACATTTGCAGATCTCTCGTAGTAAAACCCTCTATACATATAAACCCTAGCTTTCAGAACAGACACCAATGGCTTCTAAGGTACCTTCAGGGAACGGAATCGCTGCAGAAACTCCCAAAACGGAGGCAGAGTCCGAGATTCACGCCACTGCCGCCATAGAAACCGAGCGGAAGGTGGAAGAGGAAACGTCACCGGCGAAGGAGGCGGAACCAGCAGCTGACCACTCAACGGCGTTGGCGGAGAAGAAATGGCCTGGATGGCCGGGAGACTGCGTGTTTCGTCTTATAGTGCCGGTGCTTAAAGTTGGCAGCATTATTGGACGGAAAGGAGATCTTATAAAAAAGATGTGCGAAGAGACGAAAGCTCGCATTCGTGTACTGGAAGGCCCTGTCGGTAATCCTGACCGCATTGTAAGTTGTTACCTTTTGAGATTCCTGATTGTTTTATTTTGTGAAATTGCTTTGTTCTTTCTGCGCATATACCATATTCTTATTGAGTTATCAACCAGAAAAACCTAGAATACCTTGAAATGATTGTGAGGTAATTATAATGAATCAACGTTCACATTAGCAGTTCAAAATGCAACAGTTAGTTGTGTTAGTCATTTGACATGCTCTCTTGACCTCTTTTAGTAGCTGAAGCTGGATAGGTAGCCCATATGTTGTTTTTCACTTAGGTTTGAGAAAGAAATGTCCCAGATTAAATTGGCCGCAGAACTTGCCCCTTTCATACTCTCTGTTACAATTGTTTATTTTTAACTTTAGCCTCTATTGACAGGCTGCAACACATATATCCAGTTTTTATGTAAATCGTGACCGCATCATTTACTTGGTAATACTGAGTCTGTTTATACAGTTTTTTTTGTCTAACAGCTTACTCTAGTTTGTCTTCTTATTGTTTTTGTTTCTACTTTCTATTTGTGGACTTCAGTTGTATTCTTCTGACTCATTGTTTTCTTAGGTCCTAATATCTGGCAAGGAAGAAAAAGAGGCACCCTTGTCACCTGCAATGGATGCTGTGATAAGAGTATTCAAGCGTGTTAATGGCTTTCCAGAGAACGAGGATGATGGTGTAGCATCCGTTCCCTTTTGCTCAATCCGACTACTGGTACCGTCAATGCAAGCCATGAGTCTAATTGGGAAGCAAGGATCTTCAATCAAGACAATACAGGAGACCAGCGGTTGTTCTGTTCGTGTGGTCTCGAGTGGTATAGATTCTATCCTAAATCTAATGATTATTCACATGTGCGGGATGGCATATAAAGATATTTCTTTTCATATGACATAAGGCATTGGATCTTTTTATAGCATTACTGTTTTCTGAGAAATTAGCAATGATTGATAGAACTTATTGGAAACAAAATTGTATATGGGGCCATCTAGTTTCCAGATCTTTATGGTGTTTCTCCTTAAGTAGTTTATGTTGCTTCATTCCATATTACTGTGTCAAAATTATTGGTACTTAATTGGAAAGATGGTGGGGCAGTGTTAAGGGGCCTGATAATTCTAACTTCTCCTGTCAATATTTTGTCAGTGAGGGTTTTTGTTGCTTATCTGTCCTAGTTCAATTAAGAAACATTCAATGTTTCTGTTTCTTTTTTCCTTTCTCTCTTGGTCATATTTGGTACCGTTTTCCTACGTTGCATCTTATTAGTAGTGGTAGGCTGGTAGCACAAGTTTTTGTCAATGCATTTTCTGTTTTCCTAAGCTGCAGCCACGGGTCCATGTCAACATATTATATTTCCTCAGTAATAGGATATTTTTTTATGTCCCTTTCTTCACTCTGTGGTGTCATTTAGTCTCTTGGTATGATAACTGAACGACCACAAATCAGCCACTCCTTAATGGCAATATTGCATGTTGCACCTGGACATATTGGGTGCCTCACCTGTTCTTGTTTATGTCTCGATTTATTTGGTGTAAGATTTATATCACTTATATGATCACTTCTCTGCTTGACATACATGATCAGTGAATGATGTAGATTCTGGGGGCGGTCTGAAATTCATGTTTTTTTTTTAATTTCCCTCAATCGTGGCAAGCTTCAGATTGCTTTGTACTGCGTTGATGATCCATCGAGTGTTGTGCAGCTGCTGGTTTAGTTTATTCTGCATGAAGTTTGTATATTGGATCTTGATTTATCTTGGGAATATTTTGCTTTGCCACTTGCAATCTTGCATGCTTGGTGTAATTTGGTTGGGCTTTCTTTTTTCACTATCCTAAAAGTTGATGTATTGAGCAGGAATATATATTCTTTTATTAATCACACGAATGAATATATAGTACATGTCTAAATAACTTTGCATTTATCTAGAATCTAGACCTTTCTAATAAGATTGCAACAAACTGTGTAATCTATCTAAGAGAAGATACATATAAATACAATTAGATGATACTAGATATTTATCTACAAATATCACTCAATACTTCCCTTCAAGCTGGAGCAAGATGTTGATCATTAGCTTGACAATAGATTCCTCGAAGACATGTTTGAATAATCCTTTCGTGAGGATAACAGCTTGCTGTTCTGCAGATGGTACATATGGAGTACAAATTTCTCTGATGAAGTTTCAATCAATTTGACGTGCTTGGTCCTGTCGTGCTGCACGAGATTATGAGCTATGCTTATGGAGGATTTATTATCGATGAAGAGCTTCATTGGAGGGTCAGTCTGGACCTGGAACTCTTTCAAAACTTCTTTTAACCAAATAATCTCACAAACTCCTTGAGCCATAAAAATTCTGCCTCTGTACTACTTCTGGACACAACTTTCAGTTTTTTACTTCTCCAAGTAAGAAGGTTATCCCAAAAAAATGTACAATCTCTTCATGTTGATCTACCATCACTTGCACCTCCCTAGTCTGAGTCAGTAAATACTACAATACTATTCTTTGTTTTCCATCGCTTTGGCATGTATAGAGAAAATATTGTGACACTTCTTTTCTTATAAGGCCTTCGGTCTTTACCTTTCTTATGTATTGTAATGGATGATTCAATCTCTACTTTGATTTTTCCTGAAAAGTATCCCTTACCCTGGACTTCCTTTCAAATAATGTAGAATTAGATATACTGCTTTGAAGTGTTCCTGTGTTGGACAATGCATGAATTTGTTAAAACCTACAGCATATTCCCTTATGTGGGACAAGTAAATCAACTTCCCAACCAATTTCTGGTATCTAACTTTCTGAACAGGAGTGCTTTCTTCCTTTATTTCAAGTTTCTGATTCAGATCAGGGGGAAGTTACAACCTTACATTCAGGTTTACCTGTTTCCTTCAATAAATCTAGAACATATTTTCTTTGTTATAAAGCTATGCCATCTGAAGACCTAGCTACTTCCATACCAAGAAAATATTGGAGCTCTCCAAGATCTTTAATCTCAAATTGTTTAGAAAGAAACCTTTTTAATGCTTCAATTTCTTCTATGTTGTGTTGTGCCATCACAATATCGTCCACATGCACAATAAGAATTAGCGTTCTTACCTCTTGAGTGTTTATAGAACAACATGTTATTTAATTATGCTTGTAAGAAACTTTGTTTCTTGACAGCTTTCGAGAATCCTCCAAAGGCCCAAACCATGCTCTTGGTGATTGTTTTAGTCCATACAAGGACTTCTTTAGCCTACCTACTTTCCTATCCGAAGACGTGTCATCAAATCCCGGTGGAGCATCCATGTAGACTTCTGCCTCTAGTTCTCTGTTTAGCATTTTTCACATTGAGCTGATGAGGTGGCCAGTGAAGGTTTTCTACTAAAGATAGTAAAATTCTTAGTTTTTACCGTATTAGTTTAGGAACTAGAGCAAATTTTTCCTGATAGTCCAGGTCATAAGTCTGTGTGAACCCTCTGGCCACAAGTCTTGCTTTATACCTCTCGATGGTTCTGTCTGCATTGTACTTGATAGTTAAGACCCATTTGCTGCTTACATGGTTGTTTTCCTTTGGGTAAAGGTGATAGTTCCCAAGCATCGTTCTTTTGTAGAGCCTTTATTTCTTTGAACACAACTTGCCTCCATCTTGGAACCATTAGAGCTTCATGTATCGACTTTGGAATCTCATCATCTGTAATGCTACTATGAAATCTCAAAAATTTGGTGAAAGTTTAGTATAGGAGACATCGTGTGATATTTGGTATACAAGATGTTTGGTACATTCCTTAGAGCTATAGGTTTGTAATGGTTACTAGATTCGAATTCTAAATTTGAAGCAACGATAGTACCTTGGTTTATGCCTGATTCCTGCGACAGTGGTAGTAGTGAGTAGGTATATCAGTCGCTTTGCATGGTGTTCTTCTAGAGAAAAAAACGAAGTTCTGAGGTTGGGGCCAAAGTAGTAGGCCTTTCTTTTGTCTCTTGATTTTGAGATGTTATGATAAGAGGCTCAAGTATCCCTGGTTTGGTTGTTGATTGTGGGTAGGGATGTCTCGGAGATTTTTTGACTCTGAAAGGGGATTGTCAAAAATAATTTTAGGTGCAGAAAATGTTTCCCAAAAATGAGCTTCACTTGGTTCATTCTCCCACTGAAGGGAAATTTTGTCAAAGAAAGGCTTATTTCCAAAAAATGTGACATCCATACTTACAAAATATTATCCCAACCCAGGTTTGAAACACTCGTAATCTATGCTGTTATAGCGGTGAAAATACAAAATTGCGGTCGGGACTGGTATTTGAAATAACGGTTATAGCGGTGGGTATAGCGGTCCAAAAATAGCAGTTCAAAATAATATTTCTTAGAATTATATATATATATATATATATATATATATATAAAATATGCCGACATGTTGCAAAATAGGAAAATTGTTCATAAACGAGCTAATCGCAAGCAATAGGTTCAGCATCTGAGTCAACATCATCTAATACGTTCGCTTCTTCGTTTAGGCTAGCTTCCCACTATTCCCCTTCTCCTCCTTCATCTAAAAACAGAGACTGAAAATAAAGCCCAAACCCCCCCCCCCCCAAAAAGTAACGTTAATATCGATCGCAATTGACCCTAAATATCGGTCAAAATTGCAGTAAATTGCACCGATAATTGCGCTACCGCAATTTAAACTGCAATCTGATGACCGGTATTTTGCTAATAAGCGCTATCTGATATTGCGCCACAATTAACAGCATAGCTTGTAACCTTTTTGTGTTGGAGAAAAGCCAAGAAAAACACATTTATGAGCTCTATGATCCAATTTATTACGGCCATGATCATGTATTTGAACAAATACTGTGCATCCAGACACTTTAGGAGATAATTCTGTGAAAGTCCTACTTAAAGGAAAAGTAAATTTGGAAGCTTTAATTTAGTGTACTTTGAAACCCGAGTTGGCATTCGGTTAATTATATAGGATGCTGTAAGAATCGCTTCACCACCAAAACGTTTAGGAACATGCATAACAAAGAGTAAAGCCCTCAATACTTCTATGAGATGCCTGTTTTTGCTTTCTGCCATGCCATTTTTATGTGGTGTGTCTACACATGAGCTATGGTGTATGATACCTTGTTGAGAAGGAAAGCTACCAAGAATAGAGTTAAAATACTCATGCCCATTATCAGTTCTTAAACTTTGCATTTTTGATCGAAATTGAGTATTGATTATAACATGAAAACTTTTGAAGCTTCAGCAGTCTCTGATTTTTCTTTCAAAAGGTATACCCAATTATTCCTGATGTGGTCATAATTGGAGGTGATGAACCATCGACTACCCGAGACACTCTTAATTCTTGATGGACACCAAATATCATTGTGTATGAGAGAGAAAGGTTTTGATGGCATGTATTTAAGAGGAGGATATACAGATCAATGATGTTTTGCATATTAACATTTTCACATTGGAGAAGGCTCATATCTTTATTTTTTAAAAGCAACACAGATAACTACAACTAGGATGGCCTAGTCTAAGTGCCTTAACAATATTTCATCTTCTAGACACAAAAGAGGAACTACTTTTTTTTGTGAACTTGTTTTTGTAAATAGCTGCTATCATCAAAGTGATAAAGCCCTCTAATTCCTTAACATTGCCGATCATCTTTCCGAGTATAGTCCTGAAAAATACACCCCATGCATAGGAATTTATACACCCCATGAATAGGAATTTGATTAGACAATGACAATTTTGAATGAGGCTATTGCAGGTTTAGTTAGGAACATATAGCACATTCTTTAAGGTAATAGATGGATATAGGACGATCGAACCTTTCTCAACAATAGAAGATAGAGAAGCATCTGCCACAGTGACCACACATAGGACATTCTCGATCTGTTCGTCGTGGAGGTCGAGAAAATTGTGAGGGATTCTCTGGCTTTCTGAAAGAAATGCAGATGTATCAACTTTCTTCTCATTCGACTCCTGAAAATACTTCACGTGTATTTGGCAGAGGATCTTGGCCCTTTTGTGTCCCTTCACTTCGTCGAGGTCTTTGTTTCGGCCAACAAGGAACTCAAAAACTGTGTCTCCACCATCTTCTGGAACAAGGTCTGGTCCTTTGAACAACTCTATTCTTACTCATTAAACAGATTAGAAGCTTGCCATAGAGTCCTCAGATCTGCTGTGGAAGGAATAGGAATGTCTTTCCTATGTGTGGTTCCATCGAGTTGATCAAGCAACACATAATCATATAGAGTTCTTGGCTTCCCATTTGTCAATGCCTTCAGCTTTTGCAGCTGGTTTATCTATCAACCCAGAAAGAAAGCCGAACTTGGACCTGCCACGAATAAAGAGTTTTACAGATTGTGACCACTACAAAAAATTGCCCCCATTTAATTTATGGAAGGTGATGGATATACTTGGAGGGGTTCAGAACTGGATTGAGTTGGAATTGATGAACGAGAGGAATTACCTGTAGAAATGTTTGAATCAGGCATATGGCTGGTGGGTTTTGATACCATGAAAGCTGAAGTATTCAGCAGGAATATATACTGTTATATTAATCACACAAATGAATATATAGGGTACATGTCTAACTAACTTTGCATCTATACTTATTTGATAAGATTACCACAAACTATTAAAAAGAATCTAAAGAGAAGATAAATATTAAATACTAATTAGATAAATATGCTAGATATTTATCTACAGATATTACTCCATATCCCTGTTCACTTACATTGAGTATCATGGGGAATAAAGCAATGAGAGTTATCGGTATGACTTGGGATAACTTCTTGTTTAAAAGTGTAAAGCTATGATATTATTCCTTCAAGAATCATATAAGAAATTTGATTATCTAAGCGTCATGTTTGAAAGCACATGTTATGGAAAAGTGTACTTTAGGACTTATTGTATCGATTGTATGGACCTTTAGTCTGTTTGTATATTGATTGCTCACCCATTCTGGATGGTGTTCTTGAGGATTAGATCTAAGTTAAGAAACCTTTGGGGTTTGTTATATAGGATGATGCCTCGAAGATCTTTCAGTTAAGGTTTTCGACTTAAGTAGGCTTAATTTTTCTCAGGGGCTCTTGGGTGATCAGTTTTGTTAAAGGAAACATGTATCTTTATGCCCATGTATTTTTATGTCTACATAGTAGACATGATCAGCTTGTAATTTTTTGGATGATAATGTAATTACTGAGGATGATCTAGTTGTCATTTAAGCTTGTGTTTTCATTCAACAAGAATTGCAAATAAACGCCTACGAGATGTCAAGTACTTTGTGAGCACTGAGCAAGGGCATCTTAGCATGCTAGATTTTATGAAATCTGTTCCTGATAGTTTGTAAGATTTAGCTTACAAGATAGTCATGGTGCATATTCTTCGTAAGTTTTCATTCTTTTTGGTCCCATGTCAGCTTCACCCTTTTTTGTCGTAAATATTTTATTTTATTTGTTTTTGTGCGTTGGTTTGAAATACTTATTTATGCACTACTTTTTCTGCCAGATGAAGTGTCAACATTATATGCCAACTCGGATGACAAGGTTGTGGATTTACAGGGAGAAGCTGTCAAGGTACTGAAAGCTTTAGAAGCTGTTGTAGGACACCTGAGGAAGTTTTTGGTTGATCATAGTGTTCTCCCCCTGTTTGAAAAGACTGTAAGTTATTCTCAGTTGGGCAGTTTATTGGAACACCATATCATATGGGGCTAACAAATATTGAGCTGCCTTATGCAGCACAATGCAACAGCCACACAAGAACGTCAAGTAGAGCCATGGGCCGAAACATCCATGCTGCATACCAGTTCACATCCTCGGGTTGGCGGTGATTATCCTCTTCCAATGAAGAGAGAATCACTGTTTGCCAACCGTGAACCCCAGCGAGAGTCACAGTTTTCTTCATCCAGACTTTCGTTTTATGGACGTGATCCTGGGTTATCTACAACACGTTCTCCTGCACTTGGTGGTACGAGTGGTCCTTTTGTAACTCAGGTTAGTGCTCCTTTTAACTTTCTAAAATTTTGGGATACCAAGATAGTTTCATGTATTTCACTTTCTCAGAAGTAAAATCAAACTAAACCATACTAACACAGTATATCCCACCTGGCGCTGGGGTCTGGGGAGGGTACAAGTACGTAGACTGCAGCTCTACCCTGAGGAGTAGAGCGACACTTTTTGTGCACTTATTAGAGCTTATGCTTAAGTTAAAGTGAAATAAGAGTATAGGAGATCAGGGAAAGAACATATATAATTTCTTGCTGTTCCAAGTTGTTTAACGTAGAAGTTTTCAGAGTGTAATCTAATATTTTTTCCCAGGACTTCAGAAAACAGAAATGCGAAGGTGTATCTTGTATGTCTAGCTCACTTCTGGATCACATGGTCTATTTTGTCAACTTGCAAAGTTAGAGAATCAATCTAGTTAAGATAGTTGCAAAGAAACATGGTTGTGATTTTGTTATATTCTAAACCAAACCAAACAAAACTAGTATATCGCACTTGAAGTAAGGTCCCGGGGTGGTATGTACGCAGATATGTCCTTTACCCCAAAGGGATGTACACTCAAAGACCATCCTTTTGTAAATTTTTATTATATTTCTAGATGGAACTTCAACACCGCCTCCAAGAACTTTATACAAGTATATGTAAACCAAACCAGATTAATTGCAAAAATCTTGAAGATGTACTTATGGACTGACTGTAGAATTTATTATCTGCTCGCAATATAATTCACTTTTTGTCAGTGTTAGAATTTTGTCAATTTGCTTGCATTTAACCAGGTTGCCCACACAATGCAAATACCGCTGGTCTATGCTGAGGACATCATTGGTGTTGGAGGGACAAATATTGCATATATTCGTCGCACAAGTGGTGCAATTCTTACCGTTCAAGAGAGCAAAGGCCTACCAGATGAAATTACAGTTGAAATAAAAGGAACCTCATCACAAGTTCAGACCGCTCAACAACTTATTCAGGCAAGACGTTTTCTCTTTGCCTTTCCCCCTTCCCAAACTGGCCCACTTTCTCTTTTTTACGGGACATGTTTGTTGGTAGTGTTCTAGTAAAAGGTAAGCGAGCTAGGCGGTCATTTGATGATCGGCTGCTCAATTGCCTAACTGAGGTTTCTGCGGATGCGAAAGCAGGATATTTAAAATATAATCACTGGTTGACTTCTGTAACCATTGTAATTAAATTTTTGTTGCAAACTAACAATCATTTTTGTTAATATGCCAAAAAAACACTAACTTGCAAGAATTAGCGATTGGACAAACTATGCAAATGTAAATGCAAAAGCAAAAGCAAAAGCAAAAACCATAGTAGTACGTAGCAATTTTTTTGGGTATCTCTACAAAGGTGTTCTATTTGCAACACAAAACTAAATACAATGGTTTGAGAAGTCAGTGACTCGTACAAGATATAATTACTTTAGGAGGAAAAATTGATTGATGAGGACATTGAGAAAAGGGTGACTAAATCCTATTAAATGTTATGGAACAACTGATTTCAACTATTAGTTGTCCCGATTGAAGTGCCGGGGACATTGATCTCCTAGGTGGCCCTGAGGATTTTTAGAACACTTKGTGTTTGAGGGTGTTGTAGCTCACACCGAATATGACTCTTTGCTTCTTATTTAAAGCGTTTTACTTTTTCATCCAATATACTTGCCTTTACTTTTCAATTTATTCTTGAAAAGCTGCCCAAAAGGGGAAGGGCATTGGTTCGTATTAGGGAATGAGAATGGGGATGTTGGGGAATGGAATGGGAATGGTCATTCCATTGATGCTGTTTGGTTGGTACTGGGGAATTGGAATAGTCATTATGTGGGGCGGCGAGCCATGGACCAGTATCGCCCAAAACCACCAGCCACCCCAACCTAATTCATGATGAGCCCACCAACTTCCTGGCAAAATGCCTATGGTTAAAAACATGAGATGTTCACCGAGTAGAGGGTAAGTGTAGATGTGGTATCCTGGTCCTTCCCCTTATACCCCAGTTTTTTTCAGGAATGGTCCATTAGAGCATTATACGGTAATGGGTCATTATATTATTATACCATGCCAATAACCTCTAATAATTCTTATTCCCATACCCAACCTTTCTAATACCGCCAAACTAGCACTCTCCAAGTGATTTTGGACAACTTTGTGGACTCAAGCAAAAGAAAATAAAGAAAAAAGATCCTACTTGTCGATTCGTTTTTTAATTCAAAATTGCTTATTTTTGCAATGTGTTAAAACGGTTAATTTATAAGGAAAAGTCAATACATTATTTCAAAAAGTCAACGACTCAGGGGATGTTTACTTTTTTTTAATCAAGTCCTGTATGGGTTAATTTGTCTATAAGAGGGAGGGGAGACTGATGGGTTTGAGGGAGGCGAAGAGAGAGGGTTTGGATTATTTATGGGGCATTTCTTAATTCTTGGTATTAAGTTGTTTGAGGTGGCTCATTGGGGACAAGTGAGTCGTCCTAGCTTATTCCATATAAGCCATTTTGGCTTAATGGCTTAACGGTTAAGCCGTAAAGAAACACTCCTGTATGGCTGAGCAAGTAAGCCGTCCAGCTTATTAAGCTGCAAGTAAACAGCTCCCAAGTCTTAAATAGAGCAATCTGTTTCTACTTAAAGAGGGATACAATAAACGAAACAGCTGATCTTATGTTATGTTTTTTTGCTCAGGAATGTGTAAACACCCACAAAGATCCCATTCCAAGTGGCTACGGAAACATGGATTCCGGTCTGAGGTCTTCCTACTCTCAATTTGCAGATTCATCTTACCCGTCGTCTTATAGTCGACATTCATATGGTGGGTATGGAATGTCTGATTCCGACCCGTATGATAGTTACAGAATGTGAATAGACCTACCTTTCTTTCTTACAACCCCTTTTTCGTGGAAAAAATGTTAATCATTACTTGTGGCTTTGTATCATTGATGGATTCATTGAAATGCTTGATGAACGTGTAATTAGGTTTTAGCCATCTATCTGCTTATTTGTTTTAGAAATACCAATGGTTTTTTTTTGCATTAAGTTGGGTACATCATTTGTGCACAATTTGCAGTCAAGTAATCAATGACATGTAGATGTAGTTATAAAGGTTCTTTGACCTTTTTATAAACATCTAATCAGTTGTGCTATTGATTTGGGATATGGGGAGTGCCAATGGCACCCGGTGTTAAATACTTTGAAACTTGAACTTTGATTAAAACATAAAAGGTCAAAATCAATCAAATAATATAACATATTTTATTATTATCACTTTATATATTAATATACATATCTTATAATTATAATATATATATATATATATATATAATTCCATATTATATATTTATCATTATTATTTTTATTTTATATATTAATATACATATATATTTATATATTATCTTTTATATATTATTAATTTAAGTTATATTATACAATTATTTATACATATATTTTTTAAATATATATATATATATATATATATTCATGAATGCATCCACACACATTATATATTATTATGATATATTCATACTTATTATAATTATTATATATATAAGCATGAGTATCATAAATTTATCTTACTTATTYTGATATTTTTAAAATTATATAATTTAAAGTTATTTATACGAGTAAATATTTAWTTGATAATGAAAAGATATTTATAATACATTGATTTTATTTTTATATAATCCTTCTTCATTAACCGTTAATTAAAATATATTAGTTTTAAGGACCTTAATCATTAATTTATGTCAACCATACAATGTTTGATGAAATTTTGAACTATTTAGACTAATTGTAATATTAGACTTGAAACGACGTTAAAAATATAATAATTTAAAAAATAAATGAGATGTTTATAAAAAAAACTTGAAAAATGTAATTACTTTTACAAAAAGTAGCATTTCAAATTTTTGGGTTATTTTAATATTTTTAAAATGATGTAGAGAATTAATATCGTGCAACTTAGAGAGTAATAGTCATTTATAAAAAAAATTCATCCTTACATATATTGTTAATAATATATTATCGAACTTTAAAAATTGATTATTTGAATTATTTTAACCCAAAAAAAATGCTATATATTGTAGTTTGCTTGCCTCACAGATCAAATAAATGGGAAAACGATTTTTAAGTCACGATTTTCCTGATACGTAAGGATTTATTAATAATATTATTATATTAAATTTAATATGTAGTTTGATAACATAAAAAAATATTTTTTAATGAATAACTATTAAAATTAGGTTTTTAAGGATCGTTATTATATATATATATATATATAATTTCTTAAAAATAATTATTAAGATAAAGTAACGTTTTTTTAAGAAAAAACATTAAAAGAGAAAAGAAAATATATATGTCTTTTATAGAAATTATGATAAAAAGATAATATTTGTAATAGTATATATTTATAATTAAATAAGATAATTAAAAAAATAGTATAAAAAAAAAGACAACAAAAAGACAAAAATACAAAAAGAAAACGAAAAAAAGAATGATTACATAAGTATAGAGGTGCCATTAGTATGAGGTAAGAGTGCCATTAACCTTTCCCTTGGGATATTTAGGTGGAAGGAGTTTCAATCTGAGACTAAAGTCAAAGAACTATTATCAAATGTGATTAAACCCCGTTCTTTAATCAGATATGAGTGATATAAGCGTTATCTGAGTTTGACCCACTTTTGAACCAAACCCTTAAATGAGAGGTCTTAATGCTTCAAACAAAGAGGTTGAGTTGTTTAGTTTGTTGATTTGACTTCATCCACTTATCCTTTTTCATGTGTCCAAAAACCTGCCATAAAATGACTGAGAGGTATACGGAAAATTCTGGGAATTAAATGTATGACCTTACGAGCCTAAATGGTTTAATTCTTCTTGTTCCTTCACAACATTCAAGTTGGTCTCTATATATCATGTTCTATTTTAGACCTATTTTCGGTAATATATCAAGTATGTTTGATTTATTTTGTTTCTATATGACTCAAGTAAAATAGTTACAACATATATAGAGACACGCTGATATTAAAAGAATAGCATTTGATTATTAGAGATTTCTCTATTTCTCGTGAGAACGCCTTTTAAGCTTTTGAATATATTTTTTTTATTACAATGCTTGCATATTGTAGTAATATTTTTGTAATTGGGTGGAGCATGTCTGTAAGGGACCCCTATACCTTGTTATATACCTATATATATATATATATATATATATATATAGAGGGATGTTATTCTACACAATTTGTCATTCATACACCCTATACAACCCTCATCTCAACCATTTAATTTTTAATCAATTAATTGTTTCTTAATATAAAGTATTAATCATAATTAATGAACTCTATTCATATTCCATAAATATTCAAATAATAATAAATGAACTCCCATCATTTCTATAAATATCTCAATTAATTGGGTTGCAAGGGTTGTACAAATGCATAAGGTTGTAAAAGAAATATACCCTATATATATATATATTTTGTTTCAAATGCAACCCATCATATTTATACAATCAATACAATCCAATAAATTGAAATATTTATGAAAATAATAAGAATTTATTTATTATGATTTAACACATATATTTTCATTAACCTTCACACGGTGCATATGCCTTAACATGAAAATGTTAATATATATTCACAAAAACGATCAGATCAAACCCACGTGCGAAAAACCAAAACGAAATAGCCTCTCCTTCACAAAAACGCAAACAATCATCTCCGTTTGATCAAAAGATAGTGGCTGACCTATACTTTACAAAATGGGGACCAAAACATGCCTCCCCCCCACGCCAAGATTTTTTTAAAATGGTTTTATGGTTGTATCTCATTTGGTGCCACCAACCCCTCCCCTCCACCGTAAAAACTAGGGGTGTACATGGATTGGGTTGAGCGGTTTACAACAATTTTACAACCCAACCTAATTATAATAATTTGGAAATTCAACCAAACTCATTCAAAAGTGTAACCCAACCCTTGCAGGTTGAGGCGGGTTGGGTTGGGTTGGCGGGTTAGTATTTACATAATTTGACAAATAAAATAATTAATGAAACTTAAGTTTATGAATCATATTATAAAACGTCTTATCTAAAAAGATTACAATAGATTTATAGGACGTTTTTGGACATTTCAACAAATGTTTTAGAATGATCTTTACATAAAATGTCGTATTAGTTATTTTATAGAAACGTGTTGAGAAGTGTCCCATAAACTCATCTATTTATAGGACACCTATGTTCATACGACATTTTTTCCAGTCGTGTTGTATAAAATAACTAATACGACACTTTATTTTAAAAACATCATAGAATTTTTTAAGACGTCCAAAATCATCCTATAAACATATTGTAATTCTTTTAGATAAGACATTTTTCCAATGTAACTCTTTAAAAGTGTCATAGATTGATGGATTCGTCCATCAAATATCTATCAATATCATTCGTATTCTCCAACATATCAATTTGTTGTTGCTGCAAAAAAAAATCAATAATTTTTCTTATTAATTAGATTATTTGTCATCATTTTTTGATCGTAAATATCTTTTGGTAACCTATATGTTTAAATAAAATGAAACAAAACATAATATCAATAAAAATTATATAAAATTTATACATTAATAATATATATACATAATAACATATATATATATATATATATATATAAATAAAATTTTATAAAAATTATATATTAGCGACGGGTTGGGCGGGTTGATCTAGAATCAACCCAATTTCAACTCTCCTAATAGGCGGGTTAACGGTTTGGCGGATGGGGGGTTGGTGATTAGGCGGGTTGGATTTAATTGGGTTGTTAGCGGATTGGGTTACGCAGGTTTCATGAGTTGACAGTTTTTTGTACACCCCTAATAAAACCTCACACTCTTAACTAATGTTGTTATTTTGTTATTAATTTTGTTCATCTACATTTGTTTCTAATTGGTTATTTGCAACAATGATTTTATTATAAATTAGTTTAGTGTTTAGCCATCTCGTTATTTACGAATTATCGAATATTGTTATCAGGGGCGGACCTGGTGTGGTGACATGGGTGGCACGTGCCACCGAAGGGTAAAAATTTTAGGTTTGTTAACGGTGCTACCGTATTGTTTTGGAAGGTGCTACCGTATTTTCCTGAAATTCAAACAGTACCACCGTATGAAAAAATTTCTGGGTCCGTCCCTAATTGTTATTATGTTAAACCCAAATAATAAAAAAATAACCGAAAACAAAGAGTAGATTACATTTTTCGTTCGTATGGTTTTTTAAAAAATTTCTGTTTTCGTCCCAGTAGTTTTGAAATTATGATTTTTAATTCTATGATTTATAATTCCTTATCGTTTTTTTCCTTATGATTTAAACTTTATTGCATTTTTCATCCCTATAATTTACATTTTATTTATATTTTAGTCCCTCGTATTTATAAATAGCCATTAGCATCATGGACGAAAACAATTGCATATCACAAGGACGAAAACCGTAATGTTGAAATCACAAGGACGAAATATGCAAATTATAACAAAACACAAGGATGAAAAATGTAATTTACTCTAATAGAACTAAACCAATTAAAGAAACCCGGTTTTATTTAGTAATATTATTTTGTCCTACAATGGGAAGGACTTCAAATTTTTGCCCTTCTTGATGAACAAACACACTCTCACTTTTGACTTTCACACACACACAAACGATGCAATCGACCAAATCATGGATTTATGCTTTGTTTTACCTCACTCTCATCACGATTTTACTCTATTTGATGCAAGTTTGGATTCTATCCGACAAATTAATGGTGTCTCATCACAGAATCACTTCCAAGAAGCATCCAAATCTTCCTCTACGTTTCAATTTCGACGGCACTTTCAAGATCCTTCAGGTTTACTTAATTTCATTGCCAATGATTTCAAGTTCTATTAAGAAAATCAAAAGAGTTGGTTGTATGTTTCGATTAGGTGGCTGATATGCATTATGGAACTGGATTGACTCGGTGTAGAGATGTTTTGAGCTCTGAGTTTCAATGGTGTTCCGATCTTAACACGACGCTGTTTTTGAAACGAATGATTGATGCCGAGAAGCCTGATTTTATTGCTTTTACAGGTAGGTTTTTTTTTTATAAATCATTTTCTATGCAGTATCTGAACTACTTATTTGGATACGATTAGACTCTTAATTACGTCATTAGTGAATTTTCTGATCAGTGGTAATAGTTAACTTCACATTATCGAGGCATTTTGCTTCACTTCTTACACCTTAGTTGATAAAGGATCTACAGTTGACTTTAGGCAATCAAACGAGCTATTTTTAGAACTTTACACTTGCTATCGATTTTAAACCATTTTTGAAAACATTGATTACTATGTTGAACTCTATGAAAGACATCACAAATGGAAGTTGTATCCATTTATAGCATTTAAAAAAGTACCAAATTGAGAGTTAAGAAGTCATAATGTTACTCTTTTACTGGAGCTGAAGGAGGAGTATATGTTATTTATCTGTTCTTTGAGAGTGTAAGCAACCTTCTACAGTAAATCCTCATGCAGACTGTAAGAACTCATTACAGAATATGTAACATATTGAAACATAATGTCGTTTTAAGCAAGCTTTAAGTACAGTAACCATGTCGATGAATAATGAGAAACCTCTTTTATTCATCCAAAGCTCTACCCTACTAACTACAACTTTGGCAACATAAACCACAAGGGTGGTACCTGATTGGTTTGATCTTGGTTTCAAAGGTCAAAAGTACCAGGAGGTCCCAGGTTCAAATCCAAGGTGGAATAAAAATCCCCTTGTGGCCACGGAAGTTCAAATGTGGTGACTCCGGGCTATCTGCAAAGCAGGTGGTCGCCCTGGGATTAGTCGGCTCGCATAGCGGGTTGGATATCCAAGTTAATAAAAAAAAAACCTTTAGCAACATAAGAGATCTGGTTTGGTAAGAGTGTGGAAAATTTAAACTGACATGTTCATCGCCTGGCGGGCTGACTCTTTTACCTTGCTTTGGTTTATACCGAGATAGAACTTAAAAAGAGTCCAAAAGGTTTTCTCAGAAGTATATAATATTTATATATGGCAAAACTCACACACACTCCTCACCGTTGGTGAGACTTGAACCCTTGACCTCCAAGAAGGTTGGATCTACCGGTAACCTAGATACTGCTGGACCATTGTATCATAATCTATAAGCATAGACTTTTAGGTACAAATGGAATTATATAGTCCATTTACGCTTTGGGTGTTCATATATAAGTTAATGGTCTTATTTCTTAGTCTTTCCTTTATCAGTTGATTATTCTTTTTGTGATTGCCTTTAGGATTAACTTAAGTCCAAAAGCAAAGTACTTCCTTTAATATGCAATACTAGCATGAACTCCCTTCCCATGATATCATATTGCTTCCATATCTGGACTGTCCAATTAATCACAATGTCTGTAAAAAGATTCTGAGTTAATGTTACTTATTTGTGCAATATCATAACTATAATAGATGCTGGTGTTGTGGTCTACTAGCTTCCTCTATTTGTCTTCGTTAAAGGGTAGTTTAGATAGTTGACAAATAATCAAATATTTTACTTCAATACATGTCAAACTAAAATTTCAATTTTTATGGTATCACTGCAACTGATTTTCGCTAGTTGTGGCAACTAGGGGATAACATATTCGGGTCAAGTACTGATGATGCTGCAGAGTCATTGTTCAAAGCTTTTGGCCCAGCCATGGATTCCAGACTCCCTTGGGCAGCAGTTTTGGGTAATCATGACCAGGAGTCCACTATGACTCGTGAAGAACTAATGTCATTCATCTCCCTTATGGATTATTCACTTTCACAACCCAACCCATCCACTGAAGATACCTCTGATCCTGCCAAACAACAAGTTATAACAGACATTGATGGCTTTGGAAATTATGATCTCAGAGTATGGGGTGCACCAGGATCTTACTTAGCCAATCAAACCATCCTCAATCTCTTCTTTCTAGACAGTGGTGACAGAGCTGTCGTCAATGGGGTTCGAACTTATGGATGGATCAAGGAGTCTCAACTTAGTTGGCTTCGTGATGTTTCTAAGGTATTCAAGTTTGTACTCCCAACCCCCTTCTAGAGTACCATATCAGCTAGACTTAGACCTTTCTACTTCAATATATGCTGAAACCCTCCTCTCCTCAAGGACTCTTTTGGAAAGTAAACTGATTCACATGGTATCAGAGCCAAGGTCTACTTCTGGGACATCTTTGCCCGTCTAACCTCTATCGGAGGGGGTGTGTTAGAGTTCCACATCAGCTAGACTTGTACCTTTCTACTTCAATATATATTGGAACAACCTTCTCTCCTCAAAAGGCTCTTTTGGAGAGTAATCTAATGGGGTTCCACATTTGGCATCATAGCCAAGGTCTATCTATTGGACATCTGTGCCTTTCTACTTCAATATATGTTGGAACCCCCTCCTTTCCTCGAGGATTCTTTTGGAGAATAACCTGATGCGGTTCCACAAATCTTGCAAACTGGTTCTATTATATTTAGATTTCATTAACATGTTGCAGGTCTCGCTAACAGGGCCATAAGCAGGAAAACCATCAATCGGAAGACATTCCCATGGTACCAACACCACCTCCAGCACTAGCATTCTTCCATATCCCAATCCCAGAAATTCGTTATGGGCCTTTCATGGAAATCTTTGGGGAGTACCATGAAAACGTAGCCTGTTCGGTGGTGAACTCTGGAGTCTTGCAGACATTTGTGTCAATGGGAGATGTGAAAGCTGTCTTCATAGGCCATGATCACCTCAATGATTTCTGTGGGAATTTAGATGGTATATGGTTTTGTTATGGTGGTGGTTTCGGATATCATGGTTACGGTAAGGCCGGGTTGTCGAGAAGAGCTAGAGTTATACTTGCAGAACTTAAAAAGGGGAAGAATGAATGGATGGGAGTCGAAACTATTAAGACATGGAAGCGAATTGATGACAAGAAATTGACAAAAATTGATGAGCAAATCCTATGGACATCAAGTTGATTCTTGTTGCAGGTAATTGAACCTTAAAGCTTGAGCATATACTCTCCTATGTCTTCTTTTTATTAAAGGGTAAAATACATCAAAATGTAGCGAAGTTTGCCTAAGTTACTACTCCCTCTGTCCCAAAATAAATGTTCACGATGAAAAGTTAGAATTATGTAATTATTACACTTTTTGATTAACTAAATGACAACTTTACCCTTAATAATGGAAGTAATTAATTTCTCCTGGATAGAATTGGAAAGTAGGAACTTACTTGTGAAAATTCACATTTTTTGTGGGACAACTAAATTAGAAACAGATACTTTGGAAGGAGTATGTAGCAAACTTCTGATACTTCTTATTTCGCACACATTTTACCTGATAAATGGGTTTTCAGGGTACAAAATAGAAAGAATTAAACGTTTCCTACACTAATTGAGAAAAAAATAATAATAATTCAAACCACAAGGGTGGTGCCTGATTGGTTTGAGTTTGGCTCTAATGGTCAAAAGTACCAGGAGGTCCCGGGTTCAAATCCAAGGAGGAATAAAAATCCCCTTGTGGCCACGGAGGTTCAAATGCGGTGACTCCGGGCTATCTGCAAAGCAGGTGGTCGTCCTAGGATTAGTCGGCTCGCATAGCGGGTTGGATATCCAGGTTAATTAAAAAAAAAAAATAATTCATTGTTACATTAAATAGGAACCAAGGAAAACTATATGCATATTGGCCTTGATTACATCAACTTTTCTGTTAATTTTTGCAGCAACTGTTTCTGCAGGATCTTCATCTTGTCAAGAACTTTGCTGTGGGTGTGGTGAAATATGCTACGGCCAACCCTTTTGACACCCGTAATCATGGTAAAAATTCCATTCTGCGTTATATGAACATCGCCTCTATGCGTGTCATTCTTACGTGTTTCTATAATGACACACTTGCACAAACGTTTTACGTGCATCACGCGTCTACCCGTTATTCGAATTTTATCTCATGTCTGTTAATAATCATTACAAGTTACTGATAGTATTGATTTTGATATACAAGTTTCTTCCATTTTTGTTCAATTTAATTGTATTTTAGATAATTGATCAGTAATCATGCATTTATATATATTTTGGGATGAAACGGTTAGTCAACCGTTTGCGTCTTTTCCGAGTTCGTCGGCATGGAGTTGGTGGGCGGGTCGACGTGTTTCGTTGGCTTACTACTATGATTGTCGGACGAGTTACTACTAGATCAAATTACAAAAGTTGTACCAAAAGTATTACTCGATCTACAACGCCCTCAAAAATATACTGCTGATGCATCGGCTTAATTTAGGCAAATACGTGGTGAATCGTACATAGCTGCCTAGCTCGGGGTAACGTATTCTAGAACACTACAAACACCCCCATCTTGTAACAAAAGAGAACTTGCATGGTTTGATGCGGAAAAGAGGAAAGGGAAAGAAAAAGCGTCTTGCTTGAATAAGTTGTTGAGCGATATATGAACTTGTGACAGGGCATCTTCTATTTCAAGTGTAATTTCATCTAGTAAACCTTGAACGATAAGAATTTCACCAATCGTGCAACGAATATATGCAATGTTTGTCCCTCCAACACAAATGATGTACGAGAGCTGAGGATGGTTTATAAGTGCCGTATGTAAGAATTCAACAATATCATTATTAGTGGAGTCTCGCATTAGCTACTCACAGACGAACCCATAACTTTCTATATGAACAAACAAATTCCATTCGCTACTATTTTGACTAGATTTTTGTCAAATAACTTTCAAAGGATAAAAGACGATATGAACAAACAAATTACAGGTTTTAGAAAGTTAAAAGAAGCACCAACCTAGTTACAAAGGACCAACCGGACGACCAACTTCAAGAGTGGATAACCCACATTCATGCCCGAAAACAAGACACTAATACTATTATAGTTCTACAAAAGTGAAACATATGAAACCATCTTGGTACAACGAGTTTAAAAAGACAAAATGACCAATCACTGTACAGTTACAAAAGGATTAGTTGCACGGCTAAATGAAACTAATCCTTTCCCAGATGCATGAGATGAAAGGATTAGTTGCACGGCTAAATGCAACTAATCCTTCCCAAGATGCATGAGATGAAGGAAAGCGTGGGTGAAAGGAATAATAAGTGCAACAAACAAAAGACCAAACAAACATGCAAACCGATTACTATCAATCTCATAGTTCTAAGAAAGTGAAATATATGAAACCAACTTGATCCAAAACAAAGTGAAAAGAAACACTTACCTAAACATATATATATATATATATATACTAGGTTTGGACCCATGTATTACACGGGTTAATGACAAAAATTAAATGAAACTGATATGTATTTTATAAAGAATTAATAATCGGAGGTAATTTATAAACTTAGACAAAAGTACAAGTCCGATTAAATTTTTGATATAAAGATGCTCTTACTCGAGAATTAAATGTTACATATACAAAGGAYGGCATGTGCTTCGATAATCAGAAAAACTTCTAAATGAAGACGAACAATATAGATCCAATATGCATGTCTGCGTAGTACATGGAGAGCCTTTCTATACTCTATATGAGACAAGCAAAGGAAATCAGAGGCTCTGGGTAGTACATGCAGATATATAACTCTTACTCAAGACAAGTACAGAGCCTTTATGAAGCTCTGTATGAAGGACGGAGGCAGGGTCAGAATGACCCCGTAGCACCTGTAAAACCTCTGTTAAGCTCTGTATGAAGAACGAAATCAGGCTTCAAGGACACAAGCGTAAAGAAAGTTTCCARAGATTAAGACGGAAACTATTCAGAGTTACAAGTCTGAAGGCCATCTTCGGAGTAAGAGACAAAGCTCTTTCTCAAGACTTAAATGCAGAACCTCTGTGCAGCTCTGCATGAAACACGGAGTCTGGTTCAGATTGACCGCATAACACGTGCAAAACCTATGTTAAACTCTGTATGAAGGACGGAATCAGGCTTGACAAACACAAGGGCTAAGAAATCCTCTAGAGTTCACGACAGACAATATCTAGCGTTGTAAGACTTCTAAATCAAGACGACCAATCTGGCTACAAGTGTAAAGTTCTTTTCAAGAGTTAATTGCTAAAATTAGCCAATGCTACAAGTTTATTTAAATTTTCCGCTGTCTTAGAAATAAACCAACTTTTGATAATGATTGTCCTTGACTCTTATTAAATGAGAAAAACTCTGGACATTAACTTTGAAAGAAAACTCAGAACATTAACTTTGAAACACAAGAATTCGGAATTCTATGGGGGCCGTAAGTGAAAATTGTGTTTTAGGCGGGAAAAATCAACAACCGTCGCCAAGAAACATGACACGTGTCCCCAAAGTTACTTATATATTAGTATTTTATATATATATATATATATATATATATATATATTACCTTATAAACCAGATATTTCAAAAGTTTTAAAAACAATTTATAATACAAGTTACCAATACACATTAACTTTTATTTTCATGTTCCCAAAATACTTTTGACACATTTCACTCATGCATTCACCCTCTCATACCTCTATGTCTTCTCCTCATTCCCCAAGGTGAGATTCAAATTGATATTTACCATGAGTTATTAAAAGTTCTCCCATTCAATTGTTCTCGATCTCTTGATTCTTTGCTCTTGGTGTAAATCGAGCACGTTTGTAGAGTCGTTTAAATATATTGAATTTTAAACTGCCATACAATTTTTTTCATCGATAGACTGTTATTGGAACCATAACTTTTATTTATTCAAATTGTATTAATATGTAAAGACCAAGTGTAACTTATATCATCGTTAAATCTTCTCTAATTCACTTTTGAAACTTCAAAATCGTTAAAATTCACGGCTCCAGCCGCATCGCGCGGGTACACAACTAGTATATGTATGTATGTATGTATGTATGTATGTATGTATGTATGTATGTATGTATGTATGTATGTATGTATATATATATTACAAACGGACTAGTCACACACGACGACTGATAGAGTCCATAGCACACAATCACGTCATAATACAAAAGGCCGAATAGAAAAGGAAAACGATTAGTATTCATCTTATAGTTCAAAGAAAATGAAATATAAGAAACAATGTCGGTACAGTTTTAGATAGTTAAGGGGAAGTGTCGGTTGCCCTCGATCACGTCCATAATAGAATTAGAGACAAGATAAGCATTTAATATGATTAGTATTCATCTTATAGTTGAAACAAAGTGAAATAAGAAACAATGTTGGTACAAGAAGTGTCCTCTAACATAACTTAGGTTTTTAAAACCAAACCATAAAACATCTTATCTAAAAACGTTTCAACAGGTTGATACAATGATTTTAGGCGTTTTATCAACTTTTTTATGACGCTTTTAAAATCAACTCTTGTTTTAGCTATTTTATTGGACATTTTCAAGAAATGTCGTATAAACCACTTCTGTGTTTATTGGACACTTTTCCAGATAGTGTCCTATAAAATAGTTATTACGACAAATTATTTTATAAGGGTCCTAAAAACATTTTATAACACTAAAAAGCGGCCTATTAACTCTTCTGGATAGGACGTTATTTGGTTTGGTACTATAAACTTAAGTCATATATAGTATTATTTTTTTTACGATGATTCTACATTTTAGGCGTCCAAGAAAATCAAATCTGTAGTCTCTCACGGTTCTAAGAAAGGAAAATATATGAAACAATCTTGGCAGAGAACAAAGTTAAATAGAGCACATACCTGTATTACAATAGGCTAGTCGCACGAGTAACTCGAAGTGTCGATAACCTCAATCACGTCCATAAAATAAAACAAATAAAACAAATAAAATGCAATATGATTAGTATTCATCTTATAGTTCAAAGAAAGTTAAAAAAAAATAAGAACAATGTCGGTACAAGATTTAGATAGTAAAAAGGATCACTGACCTTAGTTACCACAGAACCAACCGAGTGACGAGACGGACGAGAAGCTAACCCACGATCATGTCGAGTAACCAAAACACGAGATGAACACGTAAACCGATTACTATTCATCTCAAATTCTAACAAAGGGAAATACATGTAACATCTTGGTTGAAGACAATGTTACAAGGAATACATACCTCCTATATTACAAACGGACTAGTCGAACAACGAAGTGGAAGAGTCGATTGCCCTCGATCACGTCCATAATACAAGAGACAAAATAAACATTTAATATGATTAGTATTCATCTTATAGTTGAAAGAAAGTGAATATAAGAAACAGTGTCTCGGTTGCAGGTTTTAGAAAGTTAAAAATATTACTAAACTTGGTTTCAAAACGACGATACTGAACGACCAAACGGTGGAGAAGATAACCCACGATCATGTCCAAAAACCAAAACACCAAACGGATAAGTCAACCTATTACTATTCATCTCACTACAAAAAACTTGGCTTTTTTAGGACTCCTAGATTGTCTAAGCGTCTTAATAGAATGATTTACATAACTTAGGTTTTTAGGACCAAATCATAAAGCATCTTATCTAAACACGTTTACATAGGTTTATACGATGATTTTAGGCGTTTTATCAAGTTTCTCATAAACCACTCTTGTGTTTATTCGACACTTTTCGGATAGTGTCTTATAAAATAGTTATTATGACACAGTATTTTATAAGGGTCCTAAACACATCTTAAAACACTAAAAAGCAGCTGATAACTCTTTTTGATAGGACGCTTTTTGGTTTGGTACTTTAAACTTAAGTCATATATGGTATTATTTTTTATGACTATTCTATATTTTAGGCATCCTATAAAATAAATTTGTAATGTCTCACGGTTCTAAGGAAGAGAAATATATGAAACAATCGTGGCAGAAAACAAAGTTAATTGGAGCACATACCTATATTACAATAGGCTAGTCGCACGAGCAACTCCAAGTGTCTAACCCTCTCGATCACGTCCACAAAATAAATGACCAAATAAAACGCAACATGATTAGTATTCATCTTGTAGTTCAAAGAAAGTGAAATATAAGAGACAACACCCGTTCAATTTATCGAATGACCAAATGGAGGAGTAGATAGCCCACAATCATGTCCATAAAGCAGAAT